CACAATAAAGAAACTGCTACTATCCGAGAAACATGTCACAAAAAGACTCGCTTGGGCGAATGAAAATTTGAACCGTGATTGGGACAATGTAATTTTTTCGGACGAAACTTCTTTTTGGGCACATACTTTTATAACCCATACCTGGTGTAATCACGCCAATCTCCTCCTTCAGCGAACCGTTAAACACCCGGTAAAGGTGCATGTTTGGGGTTGCTTTTCGAAGCAGAGATTCGGTACTTTGCACGTATTCACTGACAATTTAAACGCTGCCAAAATGGTCAAAATCTATCAGAGAGCCTTATTACCATCTGCCCAGAGGTGGTCTATAAGAAATAATAAACATTGGCTACTGGAAGAGGATAATAACCCAAAACATCGAAGTCGACACTGTACAGCCTGGAAAGAGGAAAATCACATCGATGTATTAGATTGGCCTTCACAGTCGCCGGATGCAAATCCAATAGAAAATGTTTGGGCAATCATGAAAATCAAGCTCAGAGGAAAGAAGCACAACACGATCAAGAAGCTGATTCGTCAAATTCGATTGGTATGGAGGTCCTTATCTCGTGATTATGCGATTACATTAGTAGAAAGTATGCCTCGAAGATGTAAATTAATTATTGATAATGGCAGTGACTGGGCACCATATTAATAATAACGCATCTTAGTATACACCATAAAGAATTTGTGTATTTTTTTCGAACCCGATATCCTAAATAGTTTTCGAGTTTTGCCGGACACGCTCTTGTCAAACACAGTGTAGATATAGTTCAATACCGTTGCTGCATACTCAGACTCACAATCATAGTTAGAATTTAGCACAAACGTTCACACACACACACACACACACACGCGCGCGCGCGCGCACACACACGTACCAACGACATCATACATTCAAATAAACTGTTCTTTATTAAGTAATCAGTGTTACTTGAACTTCTTTACGGCCCCATTCCGTGTAAAATTGGGTGGTCCTTCGACAGTAAACTAGACGGCACGAAGTGCAATACTTGGGGTCTTGAACGTACCCCTTCACATCATATCCGCGTATCAGAAGATTCCGTAAGGTATACTTCATTCGTTACGCCCTTAGGTCAATTTGATTACGTAAGGATGCCTTTCGGTCTCAAAACCGCACCATCTCGATTTCAAAAATTCGTTAACGAAGTCTTTTCGGAGCTAATTAAGTCAGGCAATGTTGTAGTGTACATAGACGATATACTAATAGCAACACGAATGTTGGAACACCATTTTCAAATTCTAAACCGCGTTTTTACATTACTAGTACAGAATAAAATGGAGCTAAGATTAGATAAGTGTGAGTTCTTGAATAGGGAAATAGAATATTTAGGATACCTTGTAACCGAAAAAGGCATCAGTTCACCGAAGAGTGGGGTGGAGGCGGTCGAGAAATTCCCAATACCGCGAAATATCCGTGATGTCCAAAGCTTTTTAGAACACTGTTCGTACTTCCGTAAATTTATCGAAGGATTTACTTTCGTTGCCAGACCATTATAGGACTTGTTAAAAAAGGACGCTGAATTTAAATTCGGAGAGGAAGAACTAAAAGCATTTAATAGCTTAAAAACAAAACTAGTAGAACCTCCGGTATTAGCTATCTATAATCCAAAAGATGAGACTGAACTTCATTGTGACGCCAGTTCAATACGTTACGGGATATGTTTCACAATGTGTGAATACGCGTTCGCGACGAGATTTTGGGATGCGTCGAGAGCCGAGTCAGCGGAGGTCGTAAGTCTCCGGTACGATTTTAAATCAACGTCGCGATGCGCGTACGACCCTACGACCTTTTACAGAGATAGGGTAAACAAGTTTTGTTCCGACAAGTTCTCGGTTTAAATGGTACGGTTTCCGCGGGAGGATGATGTTGTTCCCTTGACTTGTTGATGCTAACTGAACCCTTGGAGACGCAAATTCACTTCGATTCACCCAAGCCGGAAGTGAATTTGCCGCGTTGACGGAACGCACGCGGAAGTGGAAACGTCGAATTTTCCGATTGGCTGAGATGAACACGTTGGCGTGTTCTCAACTGGAACTGGTGCTTGAGAGATGCACCAATCAGCGAATCGGGAAATGCCGGAAAATGACGGTCCCAATTGGCGGGTCCCTTGGGCCAAGGCGATTCGTGCGCCACCTGTCCGTGCGTGGGTGCACCTCAGCCGCGAGAGCCCGCTTTTCTGGGGTTTTTCCGGCTTCGCGTGACGTCATCCAGTCTCCCTCCGAGGGTGTCTCCAAGGGGTGGTTTGCCAAGGCTGCGGCATGTGTTTTGCAAGCCGTCGACCACGGACCGAATTTTTACCGTTCGGCCGAACGGCTGCAAAACACGTGTACCCCGTCATTTACTTGAACGAAGATATTTTTCGCCAAGTTGTTAATGACGGAGGGCTTTATGGAGATTTACGATTTGATCTTTCCGTCTTAGGACGACGGAACATGCTCCCCCCCTGGAGAGGGTACCGATCAAGATGTGTATGTCATTACGACTAAGTGTAGATTAATGATATAAGTAATGAGCTTAATTAAGAATCTTAAATACGAGTATACGCAATATATGATTAAATAGTTAACAGTAAAATACGTGGCTGAACCTATGGTGGTTCAACACCGTCCGTAGATGTTGGGTCCACAGGGTTATCCTCGTCGGGCTGATATGGTCCGTCTCCCTGAGCGAGATAACGCGCCCCACCTCACCGGCCTCTTTGTATGACCGGGAGGTGGCTAGCCTGTTGGGGGAGTACGACTCGAGGCGGAGCAGCATTAGCGCCGTCTCGGTCGCCTCTTTAGCGTCTTCCGCGGGAACGGATAGGGGTAGGAAACGGGCGTCGGAGGATCCTGCCTCGGGGGATGACAGCGCGTCATCCATCCGGAACGGAGACTCCCGGGTAAAGGGGGCCACAAAGCGCCACCGGCCGACCAACACCGAGGCCGATGACGCGATGAGGGCCGAGTTTCGGGCGATGGCCAACGCCGACCTTGCCGCGCGACACGCGGAATTGCAGGCGGTGATAATTAAGGCGACCGAAGTGTCCAAAAATCTTAAGGGCACTATAGTGCGTGACATTCGGTCCGCGAGCAGGGGGGCGACCTTAGCAGCCGAAGAGCTGCATCTAAGGTCTATTGGGGGGCCGGACTTATACCTCCGGGGCCTCGGACACCGATAGCGCGGTACCGTGTGCAGGGGTGCGGCCTCGAGCCGTGGAACACCGCAGGATTAGTGGGACGGCCGCCCGTACAAGAGACGGCCGGTCTTATAGCGCGGTGACGTCGGGGCGCGGTGGGGTGGTAAGGAGTAATACTCCGCACCCCACCCCGACCATTCGGAATCCGGCCGACGACTGGGTCGAGGTGGTCGGCCGGAAGAGGAGGCGGATGCGCCTCGAGCCGGATCGTCCCGCCCCTTCTGGGCTGGTCCCCTCAGGGGCTGCCCCGAGGACGGCCTCGGGGACAGCTCCGCGTCCGCCCCCTTCTCAGCGCGGAGGGAGTGGGACTGTGCCCGCAGCTGGACCTCGCCGAATACCGGCGGCCCGGCTTGCGAGGCCCCCCCGAACGGCAGCGGTGACGATCACCATTGCGCCGGGGGCGGAGCAGACGTTCACAGACGTCATCGTGAAAGCCCGACAGGTCATTAACCTGCAGGAACTGGGCATAGGGGATGGTCAGCTCTGCCCCAAGCGAGCCGCGACGGGGGGCCTCATTTATGAGGTCGCTGGCACAGACGGCAGAGAGAAGGCAAAGGCCCTGGCGGGAAAGCTCACTGACCTGTATGACCCGTCAGGGCCCGTGAAAATCGGACTGCCGACCAAGTTCGGCGAGGTCCGGGTTGCGGGTCTCGACGACTCCGTGTTGCCTGCGGATGTCGTGGCAGCC